ACTACATAGTTAATTAGTATATTTGTTCCCAGTGTATCTATATAATAGTGGAGGGAATTGAAACTCATGTTAACTAAGGTCATATAATGAATAACATAGCTAAGATCCAAAGACTCTAATTCTTATCATACACATTCACCTTTCTGTTCAGAATTTAACTTTTTTTTTTTTTTTTAATGAGGATTACAGTTTATTTTTTAACCAAATTGTAGAGTGATTCGCATAGAGCAAGGCCTCATTTGCTATTGTTTTTTAATTGGGTAAATATATTGCTTCAGAATCATTGTTTGATTTTTTTTTAACCCCTCCCTCCCACCCCTGGTAACCATTAATAAACTTTAATCTTTGTACATTTGCATTTTCTTGTCTTTTTATATAAGTGAGATCATATAATATTTGCTTTTTGTGACTAGCTAATTTCATTCAGCATAAAGTCTTCAAGCTCCATCCATCCTATAGTATGTAGAAAGATTTCATGAGTAGTATTCCATTGTATGTATGTACCACATTTTGTTTATCCATTAATCTGTTGATGGACATTTAGGTTGTTTCTACCTCTTGGTTATGGTGAATAGTGAGACCATGAACAATCTTGTACAGGTCTCTTTAAGTCTCTGTTTACTAGTCTTTTGGTTATTTACCTAGGAGTGGAATTGCTGAGTCATATAGTAGTTCTATTTTCAGTTTTTTCAGTTTTTTGAGGAACTACCACATTGTTTCCATAGGTGATTTTTTTTTTTTTTTTTTTAGGTGTAACAGTGTCTTCTAACAGAATGGATCCCCTAGACTCTCTTCTCATTCCAACAGTGAGTAATGAAAGATAAAGCTACTAAAATTTTACTCCTATTTATAACCCTTTTACCACTCCATTGTACACTTCCTATTCCCTTTTTGCCTTCTAGTTTCTAACCATGTGTCCAGGAAAAGTTGGGTGAAGACTCATTCTATATTCAGTTGTTTGTAGAACAGAGCTTTCTACGAGTATTTAAACATTTAAGAATACAGGATTACCATTTAGAGTAAGACAGTTTGTCTTGAACAGACATTTAAAGGCTTATGTTTGTATGAAAATATTATGCAAAAGTTATATTTTAAATATTTTCTTTTAATATTCTCTGTTTTTAAGGTAGTTTTCTAAAACTAATCAGAAGAATACTTATATCTAAAGAAAACTTCATCCATCCATAAAAGAAGTATCTTGGCTATTGCTGTGTTTCAGTTCAACCTTCAGATTGAAGGTTGTTGTGAAGAGGACATACAAACAAGTCTGCAGTAAGTTTCTGGTTTAATGATGCAAAGATATCAATCTTTATTCATAAACCGTAAGGTGAACCTACAGGGCAGGACTAGATTCAATATATCTTCCCCATATTTTCTGGGACATTGATTTCCCAAAGAAGGTGCTGAACTGTTGATGACATCATTCTTGAAGTGCATGTTCTTGTTTTATCTAAGAAAACAGCTAAGTATTTGCTATATCATTAAGTAGTGTAGTAAGAACATCACTAACGATTCTAACAACAATCTATGTGTTTCTGTTCAAAGGTAATTTAAAGGATTTAAAGTCTTCTGCTTCTAGAACTAAATCTACTACCATCAAAGCCATTTGCACTTTGAATATAGAAAAAAGTCATTCCAAGTCATTCTTCAACAAATTCTCTGCTGAAAATTTCCAGTAATACTGAAAGCTCATTTTTCCTGCAATTCTTTATGACCCGTTCATTATAAACTATAAAATATAATTGCCCGAAAATGACTAACAAATCACTTGTGCTTCTGAGCCTGGTTGTTCTTCATAGCTCTCTTACAAATGAAAAAAGAGCATGTCAATGGCAATTGGTGAAAGGATGGCATCCACAAATTCCATCTTCTGTTGTGGTGAGTTGGATGTTAACAGAAAATATTTGCATGGATTTCAATGGAGATTGTGAGTTTTGGGATGTGCACACTAAAATGAATACTTCAAGCCAGCAAGTTGTTTCGCAGATTTGCCTTTTACAAATTCTACTAGGAGACACCCTTGTGATTTCTTCTGACCCATCTCTTCTGTGTTCAAAAATAAATTTTGCGAATGTTTCTGAAGAATCTTTTATTGATTTTCTCCAAAATACCACAAATGAAGATGAGTTACTCTTTGGTTGCAAACTAAGCAGAAAGGACCACATCAATCCTAAGTGGCTGAGGGTTGGGACAAATTATTTAATCACAGTAATGAAAAGTGGTCCGTCCCTTTGTCAGCTGGGACTTCAATTTAATGTGACAGGGAAGCAGCAGCTATGCCAGGAATATCTGAATTCAAAATTTTGCTCTGGGCAAAGTAAATGTCTCAGTCAAGTTTGGAACAAGACGTATAGCTGCCATTGTCAGACTCTGTCTTCTCGAAAGTACTGCCAGGAATTTGATACATTTTTTTACAAACCATGTCAAAATAAAGGAAGTTTCACTAATAAAAAAGGAGAATGGAATAAGCAAGGATACGAATGTATCTCTCACCCACCATTTACAGGTAAGATTGTTTTTAAAAAATAATTTATCAAACTAAATTAGAAAAATAAACTGAATTCATAAGCTGTTACAAATATAAGCTACATTTTAAAAATTTTATACATTCTTTAAAAAGAGTGAAATTTGGATTCTAGATATGTAAAATCCTACCAGGCATTTTCTAAAGGAAGTGTTTTGCTTATTGAAAGAGAGCTTAGAAACAGGTATATTATATTGCTAATATGCCTATTTTTATATATTTATCTTTGTCATTGGATGAGATCCCTAAGCTTATGGTAATTTAGATAAGCAGGGTGGAAATATGGAAATAAAATATGGATCTGGATAGAGTAAGTCTGAGAATTTTGTGGCTGAGAAGAAGACATGGAAGCGGCTTGGAATGCTGGCAGAGTTGGAGAGGAAAAGAGAGGATTGGGAGCCCATTCTGAATGAATGCTTTTGTGGGACATAAAGAGTGATTGATAGATAGTGATGGGAAGAACAGCAACAGAATGATATAATTAATAACTGGTTGGAATAAGCGAAATATGAGATAATAATAGGACAAGATTACAAAAAAGAAGGTACTTGGTGAGTAAACAAAGCCAGAACAGGGGCAACCTCAAAACAATATGAAAATAATTATATTGCCTGCCTGAAGCTGGAGTGAGACTTTAAGATAAATTTTAATAGCAGCCCTCAATAAGCTATGCAAGGCAGTGAAATTCACCTACACAAATATTTTAAAGGGTAATTATAGTTTTTAGATTTAGTAGGTACAATTGATAAGTGCTTGGCTACTGATATGAAAGTTAGTGATTCAAATCCACCAGCAAATCCATAGAAGAAAGATATGTCAGTCCTCTTTCATAGAGATTTACAGCCTTGGACACCGTTGGCAGTTCTACTCTGTCCTATAAGGTCACTACGAATTGGAAGCAACTTGAAGGCACACAACAACAGGGAAGTATGAAGGCCATTTCAGAAGTTAATTTTAGAAATATCATTTGACCATTCTCTCTCTACAATTGGGATCAAATTCTCATTTGACTGAACTTCCACAAGTAATAAGAGATTTAAGTTGTACTGTTTTGTGCTAGGGTATATCAGGTAATTTAAATGAAGGAGGATCAGAGAGGAAAATGAAAACTTTCAAAGAGCTGATTTGGGGTGAATAAAAAGCAATTTAGTTGAGTGCTTATAAAGCATATTATAACCCATCCACAGAGTTTTAAAGACTATATGGCCAAAGATTTCTGCCATGTATCAGAATATTAATTTATATGTGTATATTCTTACTTCATGGGATATTATTTCAATGTTTTTATTGTAACTGTATTGAGTTGTTTTTTATATATTATATGATTGTCTATCTATCTATCTATCATCTATCTATTAAAAATACAAAAAATGTTGTTGTTGTTTTTGTTAGGTACCATCAAGTTGGTTCTGACTCATAGCGACCCTATGTACCACAGAATGAAACACTGCCCAGTCATGTGACATCCTCACAATCCTTGCAATTCCTGAGCTTGTCATTGCAGCTACTATGTCCATTCATTGTGTTGAGTACCCTCCCCTTTTTTACTGATCATCCACTTTGCCAAACATGATATTCTTGTCCATGGCATGGTTCCTTCTGACAACATGACCAAAGTAGGCCATGATTGCTTACAAGGAGCATTCTGGCTTAAGACAGTTTTATACATTTTCCTGGAAGTTCATAGTATATTAAGTATTCTTCGCCAACACAACTCGAAAACATCAACTGCTCTTCTGTCTTCTTATTCATTGTCCAAATTTCACATGCATATGAGACTACTGCAAATACCATGACTTGAGTTAACTCATCTTCATCTTCAAAGAGACATGTTTGCTCTTCAGAGGTCTTTTGCAGCAGATTTGCCCAGTGCAACATGACCTCTAATTTATTGATGCTTCTTCCATTGGTGTTGATTGTGGATCCAAGTAATAAGAAATATTTGACAATTTCAATCTGTTCTCCTTTTATCATGATGCTACTAATTGGTTCAGTTTTGAATATTTTTGTTTTCTTTATGTTGAGGTATAATTCATACTGCAAGCTGTAGTCTTTAATCTTCATTAGTAAATGAATAATTGCTTCAAGTCATCTTCACTTTCAGCAAGCACAGTTGTGTCATTTGCATATCACAGGTTGTTCATGAGTCTTCCTCCAAATGTGATGCCATATTTTTCTTCATATAGTCAAGCCTCTCACATTATTTGCTCTTCATACAGATTAAGTATGATGAAATGATACAAATCTGACACACATCTTTCCTGATTTTAACCCATGTAGTATACCCTTGTTCTGTTCAAAGACAGCCTTCTGGTCTATGTACATGTTCCCCATTAGCACAATCAGGAGTTCTGGAATTCCCATTCTTCTCAGTGTTATCAGTAATTTCTTATGATCCATGCAGTTGAATGCTTTTGCATAGTCAATAATACACAAGTAGAGTTCCGGCAAGATGGTGGACTAGGCAGAAGGATTGCACAGACCCTCTTCAACAAAGAAAAGGGAAACCAATTAACATAGACACAGAAGGTAATCGTGGACCCCTGAGCCTTGAAGGGAAGGATACAGAATTGGACTAAACCCCAATTAGCAGAAGAATTTGCGTGAAAATACCAAAAAAAGGAGACATACGGAGCTGCGGTCTGACAG